CCCCAAAACCCCAAAACCCCAAAACCCCATCAGGTTTAGTAATTTATAAGATGAGTCATAATAATTGAATAATTGAATTATAATAATAGTAAAATATTGATTTGAAATGTCTGAATTGTTTGAAAGTTGTCATAAGGACTTTAGCTTATGTATGTCCCAACTGTAAACTTAGATTGGTCAACCTGATAAGTATAACTTAACAAGTACGCATTCAATGCCTCATTTACGCCATTAACTTTGTAGATAACCCATATGAATTTGAAGAAGCTTAAAAACTAGTAAGTATTCTCAACATTAGTCATTTAAACAAATTGATGTTTATACCATTATCAATTGAGTTTATACTCAGCCATCAATGATAATAACATATAATTATAGCTTAAATAAATGGAACTAGAGTAAATGAATCATATGGGCAACGATTACATTAGGAAATCAGTAAGAACAATATAACAAATAAAAACAATAATGATTGACTGTCATTTGCTAATCAGATTACTTTAGGTGTCAACAGCTAAGAATGATTTTGATAGAATTAGGAAAGAATTGCGTAGAATATAGAATTTAAAAGCAGCAGAGAAGTTTAAAAATAAAGATCAATTCGAGATTGTAAGTGTATATATTTTTGCAGCTTATTTGCCATTTAATATCCTACAATGAGAACTGTTTTGCTACAGAAATCATTGAATTTTTACCCAATCAGCTAATTATTGTTGAACTAATCTGATCCAATTTAATAGGAAATGGAGAGAATCGAATAGAAATAGGAAAGAATGATTAGATAAAACAATAGGTAGCTAGATAATGCCAAGCAAGTTGCTCTGGCTTGTGAGGATGAGGCAAACACGATCAAAATTAACCTGGCTGCCTAGTCTGATAAAATGCAAAACTCAGTACTTAGAAACCTTATGAGCATCTAGGGACAAACAAGCATAGCAAATAGGTTACTGACAACGATTAAAAAAGAGAGACTTAAGAATAGAATCATACTTTACTTAGTGTTTGGTGTAATCATATTAGCTATCATATTCATTCTCTACAATATGATATTCTGAAACTTAAAAAAGTCTGGCTAGAGACGAGATAGAATTTTATTATTCTTGACTTTATATATCCCACCTTAATTTGCTGATTACGCTTATTTATGAAATTAAAATTAACTTAATATTAGTAAAATCAGCATTTGCATTATTTCAACAGATAATACATCTGATGCTGATGCTAATCACTATAAATTTTTACTTGACATGTGAAGCACACTTTGACTCATGATCTATCCTCCTTAGCCCAGATTGGTATCTTATAGAGCACACTAAGCGATTTATCCACCAGCTATGTTTCCATTTCTCACCAATGAGTCATTATTTATCTAGAGTATTGATTTAGATCTCTAGTGGGGTGTTTATTTCTTATACTTGAGGTAGCCAATGCTCTGACTACTCACAGAATTAGGAGTCTGAGTCATATCAACTAGATTTGCAGTAACTTGATTTAAGTGCTGGGCAAGGTTGACATTCAGATTGCTAGACTTTCTTTCTTTGAGGAGGCTTTGCATGTAGCCTTAGGTATGTGTCCCCATCTGATATGGATAGTCGCCACTTGAACCTACCCCATCATTTGTTGTTGTAGGTCTAGTTCTGTACTAATTGCTAATTACACCAGTGGCTGAAAGATTCATAAGCCTTCTCTATATCTTTTACTTCTGCTTCTTCATATCATTTATCTGCTGTTCCTTGAAGTTCTTCGCATATTTCTGCTTGTTCTAGTTTAAGATCCCCTGAGTGGTCATATCTATGTGATGCTGCTACTATATGCCAATAATTGAAGTCTATGGCTAAGGAGTGTTGTTCCTTATGCAGTAAATATTGTCCTTACTAGCAGCTACCAAATTCTAAGTCTTTTCATGAACTGAGAATCTTCCTATCTAGTTCCCACCTGTAGAATACTTTGATAATGATTACTATAGAGGCTACGCTGAGATATAACTTTAGTTTTGAGCAGCTGTTTGACCCTGGACAGTTAGATCTGGGATTTAACTGTGACCTTCACGGTCTGTTAACTGAGTCTCAGTGTTTAACATATTTGCAGGGTTGTGAGTCAAGTCTACTCCTCCATGCTTTACCGATGTCATTGATTGATTAAGCATAGTGCTTTAATCTTAGACATAAACTCTCTAAGATATTTACCTTGACTGAGCATTCCTTCCCACATACTGATTATTGTATGCACTGAAAGACTAAGAGAATGTCTGATTCAATCTGTTGCTTGACACTGAGGATTGTCCTCCAGTAAATCCTGCTAACCCAGTTCTCCCTGTAAGTGTCCTGTTTTGCTGTCTACTATCATGAGTGGTAGAGACCATTTCCTTTAGAATCGAAGCCTTTTATTCTAAGATCTCTTGATTTTGCTACTGCTGGGTCTTTTGGCTTCTCTGACTGTTTAATATCTCCTCGATGTTGCTAGTATCTCTCTAGAGTATCTAAGCCTTCTTCATTAATAGATCCTTGCGATCGTAGAGCTTATTCCTAAACTAGACCTTGCTAGGTTTATAAGCCAAACATGCCATTTTGAAGGCTTTAATCACAAACTATAGGCATATCATTGTATCATCTAACTTACTGATGAATTTCCAGAGCAAGATACACAATTAGTATTAAGACTCATGACTTTACCCTCCTTGGCCATATTGATGTTGTTCTGTATTGCATTGCCCATAGTAGAATTAGTTGCGAATGTGTTATTCCCTGCTATCATTGACTTATCATGAAACTCTTCATTTGACATGCCATAGAGACCTACTTGTTCTTTGTCTTTTTCCTCTTGAACATCCAATGCTAGTTAGATATTCAGAGTTTGATCAACAGCAACTAATGCCATTCTAAGATTTTCAACATCATTTTTGAGTCCCCTCGTCATTTCATCTTGGTTTGATAATCTACTGCTAACCTCCTTGAAATCTAGCTAGTACTCCCTCTTTTCTCTTCTTTTCTTCTTCAAATCTAGATTGTACTAGTCCATCAATCTGAAAGCATTATCATCCAGTCTATCAGTAACCTCTTCTATCTTTTTGAAGCGAGCACCCATTTCATTGTTTAATTTGTCCATTATTGTGTTGATCTTCTCCTCTACAGTCTCTAGGTTTTCCTTCAAAAATGACTTAGCAATGTCCTGGCATAGCTCTGATATCATAGCCTTATCATCATCCTAGATGTTCTTTCTAAACTCCTTGAACTTGTTAAAGAGCTCACTTTCAGTGAGTATAACTTCATTTCCTGAAGATGAGTCTTCATTATCCTCGTCATCGTCACTGTAAGATTAAGATGACTCTGAGTTGCCTAAATCTAAGCGTGAGTCATAATCTTAAAGCTATTTCCTTCTCCTCTCTCTTGGTAAGGGGCTCTCTAATTCTTCAGACTCTTTTTCCTTTAGCTCCTCTAAATAAAGAGGCTACTAATTGCCATTGCCAAAGTAATTTTGTTATCCCTCGAATATGTTTTGGCTGTTGTCTAGATTCGCATCATACTACTATTAATCTATCTTGTCTACACTTGGAGCATTTATTTCATTTATAGATACTCTATTCATCTTGCTAAGTTAGCCTAAGTTTTTCTTATCTTAAAAAGAGTCATTGTAGCTAAAGTCCTTAGAAGGTTTATCTAGTCCACTACTGCCCCTACCACTTCCTTCTATTTTCACATTGTTTATTCCCTCAAGTTCTACTTTCTAAACAGTCAGAGATAAAACAGATTGCTGGCTTTATCTTTTAGTTGATTTTCCTTTCTTCTCGCTATTTCTGCTAGGCTCCTAAAGTCCAAGCAATTCATCCCTAGCCATGTTAGGTCTACGTTTGTGTATTACACTGTTTCTCTTCAATGATGATTACTTTTAGAATTCACTAACGTCTATTTTATTCTGTTGCAGTGGTGGCTAATCATACTTTACCGATGCTCTCTTAGCTAGTTTAATGGTGTCTCTTCGTCTTATCGTGGATTTTTATATAGATTCTTTAGATTTGTCCATCTTTTCTATATTAATAGAGGGCACTCCTTTATTAGCATTATTAATGGTTAAAGCTTTAGCTTGATCTCTACTATTCTAGTTTTTAAACTCATCATCAGTTTGCAATCCCTCTGAGGCATTCTCATTGTTAAATATCATAGGAGACGCTTTTTCCAATTGATTCAAACCATCAGGCGTGAAATTAGTGTTTGAATGCTATCTCTACCCAGATAAATTCAAAGTCTTTAGGACAGTTTATGTCTCATGTGGTCGCATTTGATTGTAATGCACAAGAATCTAAGTCAAAAATTCAATCTAATTAGGTGTGAGTTTCATATTACTTCCAGACCCTGTGTTCTATCCAAATTAGAATGAATGATTGGCTTGGCTGCCCAAAAGCGAGTGGCTTTTCTAGTTGAATTCCATAGTCATCTTTCCTTTATTACTCAATGGTCTCTTAGTTCTCACATTAGGAGTTTGAGGACCATTCAAATGATTGCCAGAGTGGAGACTTTGCTTAAAGATCCCACTTTAGGCAAATTAACTGACTTATGAAGGCGACCTTGACATGGATCGATGATCTCTCTGAGAAAGCAGGTCCTTGTGAAGGCCTTTCATAGATTTCTAGATGGCATATCTCTTCTTTTCTTCCTTCATAGCGGGTATTTAAGGAATCTGAAAAGCAGTCTTATCAAAGGTATACCCATTTATAGTAGTTGCTTGGATTTCCTACTCGAATTGAGGTAGCCTCTTTTGCTCATAATTGATGAGTTTGTTGAATTCCCTTTCATATGTAATTACATCTTGAAGCACTTCGCAGGTCTAAGCAAAGGTTTTTAAAGGTTAAATCTTGTCCAGATAGAAGTCCAAAGTTCTAAACTCCTTTTCCTAAGAGACTTAGTTGTCTCTCAAGCTCTGCATTTCTTTGAATACATTATTGACTTGAGCTTTGACGTAGTCCTCTGTCTATTCAATGAGTTGGCTACTTTTGAAAGACTCCTTTTCCAGGTCTCTGTTGAACTTCTCCACCTTCAAGTCAAACCTCTTTAAGTCTTCCTTGTATATCTCAATCTACCTCTCATAGAGATTCCTGACCTCATCAACCTTAGATATTTGCTGATACATCTGAGTCACTCTATTTGAGAAATCCTGATGCAGTTGGTTGTAAAGCGAGCCGTACTACTCCCTTGATTCGTGAAAGGACTGCTTCATCTTCTAGAACTCATCCATCATGTGATCAATTATCTTGTTCTAAACATATACTCTGTAAATTCACTATCGCTTACAAATGAATCAATTTAGTGATAAGTGGCTCTTTGCTTCTCTCTTAGCACATCTTAAGCGTTCAAGATCTTAGTTATCTCCTGATATACCTTAGACTCTAGCATTCTTCGCTCTGTATCCAGCTCTGTCACCTTTCAACTCATTTCTTCGAACTAAGCCGACCTCCGCGATGTCTTTTGCGTGATAAAGTCTATCTCATCCACTCTTTTCCTAAGTATATCTGATTCATTCCGTAATATCTCTTGTTTCTAAGCCTCATCCTTTATCCTATACATAAGATTAATTATTGAGTAATAATAATTCTTGAAATGGATTTAGACTTGCTGTTCTTACTTTTTTTGCATGGGATCGAGAAGTAAAATAACAAGAGTCCTGATTCGATTTTCAAATGAAAACCAGTCCAATTCCTTATTGCCAAGTCCCTCGAATATCGACTTCATATCCTTAGACTGCTGGCGTTTCTAAGGAGACATATTCTAAGGTAAATCTTTCTTGATATTGATCACCTAAAAGTCCTCGTTTAATGTACTATTACTGAGAGCGTTCATAATTTTAGTTTGTTTTTTTCTTAAAATATATCAATTATAGAATGATTAATATTTTGATTCGTAATATAGACAAGTTACAAAATGATTTTATAGCTATTTTTTATTAAAACTGACTTTAATTTATGATTCGATTCGAATCCAAGGGGTTTTGGGGTTTTGGGGTTTTGGGG